TTCTAGAGCCGCCCCCTGAGCCCCTGCAACAAGGCGCGGGCGCCCTCATAGGGAGGCGCCCTGGACAAGCCGCCCCCTCCCCCCACCCTGCCCCCCCACCTGGGGCGCGTCCACGTGGTGCAGGTGCGCCTTGACCTCCTCCCCCCCGCCAGACCTGATCTCCCGGGTCACCGCCGCATGCTGCACCTCAGCCATCAGCCTGTGGGGAGTCCACGGCGAGGGTGGGTGGTGGGCATGGAGGGGGCTGGCCGGGGTGAGCAACGAGCACACGCACACACACGATGCCGCAGCGAACATGGTCTGGCACTGCCACCCGCGGCGGCAGCAGCTGAGGCATGCAGCACATGAAACGTCGCCGATCTCCCCTTCAGGCTTGAATGCTGGGTGATCATAGGCATGACTGTGCGGGTGGCCAGGGGACGGGACAGGATGAGCGCGCATCTCGAGGTGCCCCCACTCCCTGAGCCTCCAGGCAGCCAGAGCCCGCCGACGGGGCCGCCGCCCTCACTTTGCGTGCGGGTTCGCGCCGATGTGCACGTGCGCTGCGAGCAGTGAAGGGCGGCACAGGGTGAAATGCCGTCACTGCAGGCCCCGGGGTGTGGGGGCCGGCCGTGGCGGTGGGAATGCGCATGCGCAGCGGCGTGCTGGTCGGCAGAGGTGGGGCTCTCCCAGCAGCACCAGCCCCTGCCCCTGCTCACGCTCAATCTTGGGCGCCGCCTTGTCTACCGTCTCGACATGCTTCAAGGGCACGCCTGCAGGGGACGAGGCGGAGGGGGCACACGGCGCGAGGGCGCCAGTCGGCGAGCGGAGGGGGGGCGACCCTGCTGCTGTGGAAGCCGGCAACATCTGCCCCGCCTCACTCGCGCCGCAGGTCCCTAGGGATTCTGCAGGCCCCGTACCGTGTTGGATGCCCTGCAGCAGCGCGTCCTTGTCCCATTTGCCGACGCCAGTCCCTGGGTGGCGACCGTGATGAGCACGGGGCGCGAGTGCCTAGCACAGTCAGCCGCGCTTCGCCAAGAGAAGCACTCGCTTGCCGTGCACAAATCATCCCGTGGACACGACGAGCAATCAAATCATGGGTTCTAAAAGATTTCGCCACATGTCGTTGCACGGCAGGGAGCCCCGTGGAGGTGAAAACCCAACTACTGCCTTGGCTCGTGGCCTCCAACGCACCCTCCTCTATGGCGGGCTTGGAAGCGTCGTGCTCCACCTCAACATGCTTGAGGCTCTTGGGAGCAGACGCGATATCAGCCAAAACCTTATCCATGTCGTTTTGCGCTTGTTCCGTAGAAATCGGGTGCTGGAAGTTTGTATGTGAGAAGCAATGCTTGACGCGGAATAATGCCCTGATCAACGTTCGCGCAGGCCCAACTCCCTGCACCTGCAATCAGAGTTGAGTCACTGCGGGGTCTGCAGGGCGACGAGCACCTGGGAAAATACATGCAAGGCGACCGATCTATGCATATGACGATAATCTGTTTGAAGTGGTTGATCTCACTCATCAGCCCCGGACCCCTTGATACTAGTAGGCCCAACCTGCAGTGCTCCACAACCAATCGGTGTCAGTGTCTGCAGCAGTTGAGCTTTTGATCTTCTTTGCGCGTTCCAGTTAGTGTTGAGTGCAGGTGTAGCCATCTGAGCTGCCGCGCGGGGGGACTAGAGGGTGTGCGCGACGCTGCCTAGGCTGGCGCGCGTGCTGCAGCGATGTTGCCGACGACGCAGCAGCCACAACAGCAGCTGGAGCCACCCGCCCCAAAGCATCCCGTTGCTTTCATATGTCACTTCATATTCAAGGTATCAAACGGGCGGCTTGGGCAAGCCGGGCTGCCACGTACAGCCGCATTTGCGGTCGGGGCAGTGGGTGCTTGTCACCGCACCCCATGCGACCACCGAGCGCCAGCAGGCACCCCGCTGCCCTGACAGCTGCAGCGAGCGTTGGTTCGACTCACCTGGGATCTGTTTCGCCCCTCGTACCTGCGTGCGCACACGCGCCTGCGTGCTGCACTCGAGCGCTTTCCACAATGCCAGCCTACCAAGCCACAAGGTGCTGGCGCGCTGCCTATCCGGTCCCCCACCCCCCCCGCCTCAGTTGGGCGCCCTGCTGTTCTACATCCTGTGTGAGATGATCAACAAAAACCAGTTTGTGACGAACTTTGTGGTGTGCATCGTGCTGCTGGCCATGGATTTTTGGACGGTGAGGGGGCGATGGCTGCTGGGCTGAGGGGGTGTGGGGCTTCAGGGATATGGAGCGGATTGGGGTGGGGGGAGGCGTTGCACCTGAGGGACGAATGTGCTATGGAAGCCGTGTGCGGGTTGGCTTGGACAAAGCCTGTCTGCCCGAGGGCCGTTTGCTGGGCTTGCAGGGCCTGGAGTGCGGGCATGGGCGTGAGGTGCGCGTGGATGGGCAAGGAGGTGTTATATCAAGGGTTAGGAAGGAGTAAGAGGGTGGCGTGATGGCGGAGACGCGCCAGCCAAGGGAGCACAGCGTCAGGTCGTGCCGGGCGTGCAGCTGCTGCCAGCAGCCATGCAGAGTCGCTGCACGCTCGGAACGCTCGCAGCTTGCGGCCTCAATCCCCAACGTTGAAAATATACCAACACTGCATCCCTGCTAAACCCAACGAATCGCAGGTCAAGAATGTGACGGGGCGCCTGCTGGTGGGCCTGCGGTGGTGGAACGACGCCAGCGCGGACCAGGGCGGCACCGCCTGGCGGTTCGAGTCGCTGGCGGAGGGACAGCGCGCCATCAACCCGCACGAGCGGCGCTGGTTCTGGATCGTGCTGGTGGCGGCGCCCGTGCTGTGGGCGCTGTCCGCGCTGACGGCTTTCCTAGGCCTGGACTGGGGTGAGGGGCCGGCCGGCTGGCGGGGTAGTCGTCCAGGGCAGACTGCGCGGGATGGGTGTGACGGCATGGAGCGGGCCGCGGCTGTGTCTGAGCGGTTGCGATGCACAGTGATGGCGGTCATCTTGTCCCTGCCTTGGAAGACGCCCCAAAGTCTCGCTGTCTGCACGGGTACCCATTGCGGCTGCACACATGTTGCTCTGCGCATTACTTTCAAGCGCTAACACGTCAATTGCCAAGCCCAGGTGTTACAGCCCTCCCCCCCTTTACCCCCCCAC